TCTCTGAGCTTTGTTTTTGTTTGTTTTTTTTTTTCCGGTACTGGGAATCGAACTCACGACCTCGCCGCTGAGCTAAATCCGCAGCCCCGGGTTCCCTGAACTTTGGTGCTGCAGCTGCGTGGTGGCGGGTCCGCAGAAGCGTCGCCCCGCAGCTTTCTGCCACCTGCCGACCTGCTGAAGGTCCCCTCCCGCCTCGTCCTGGCCAACACTACGCCCTGAGTCCCATCCGCCGCTGCAGGTCCCCGCCGTCCTGCACTCCCTCCTTCCCCGGGGGCGGGGAGGCTCATCTCTAGCCCCCTTGTTTTCCTGACGCCTGCCGTCCCTCTGACCCCCTCTGCCCAAGGATGCCCCACACCATACTGAAAGCGGTGTTTTTCGGAAAAGTTCAAAAACTGTAAAGAATCAAAATCCTCAGAATGTGGGACCCTTCTGTGATACTTTTTTGCCAGCGCATCCGAACCAATTTATCCACCCTACCCTTACCCCCTCCATGACCCTGATAAAACGCACTCTATTTCTACCTCCAAGCCTTAACTCCTACCGTCACTTCCGTCTGCAGGCATCGGGCCTTTACCAGGTCTCTTAACACGGTGTGAATGTCTCTTGATCTCCCAAAGTACAAACTTCTTTGTCCTTGTCGTGGCTTCTATCATAGCCTGCCAGGTTTTCTAATAGTGTGTTTCTCTTTTCTCTCTAAATCATTCAGCTGAGTTCACACGTTTATTCAGCACCTACTATAACAGGCCAGGCAGGGTGTAGAAAATGAGGAAACGGAACAGATGCGCCTCTCTGAAACCGGGCCGAGAGTGCAGCTCCGTAACAGAGCACTGGCCTAGCCCGGGTTCAATCCCCAGCACGCGGGGAGAGCGCTGGTCACTGAAACTGATCCTACGGTTTACATAGGAAATAAACCTCAATAATACAGGGACATGAGGCCTTAAAAATTATGAGCAGTAGCTTATGACATAGGTCTTCAGTAAATATCTGAGCGGGATGCTAAGTTTACTCGTTCATTTGAAATATAAACACCTAGGCACACAGACTGCCAAAGTTGTAAGAAAAAAATAGTTTACTGAATTCACCTTGAATACACTATTTGTAATCTTTATTATAACCCTGCAAAACAAGTAGTATTGTCCCTAATTATCCCAAAGGGAAGTGAGCTCAACAAAATTATTTATCCAGGACTACATAACCAGCTGCCAACATAACTGAAAGAATTACAACCTCCACATATAAAAACTAAGCCATTGCAGGGGCTGGGGATTTAGCTTAGCGGCAAAGTGCCTGCCTGGCAAGCGCAAGGTCGTAAGTTCGATTCCCGGTACCAGAGAAAAACCAAAAATAAAAAAAATAAAAAATAAAAAATAAAAAAAAAACTAAGCCATTGCAATTCGGTATGATTAGTTTGGAATACTGAAGGAAAACCAAAGAAGGTAAGGCCTAAAATAGGCTACAGCCTGTAAACATGTGAAATACTATTCGAAACATTATTCAACTACCTGAATAAGCAAAAATGTGCAAATTACAAGCTGCAGTATTTGTTTCCCTGCCGAATTAGCAAACACTTTTTCAACACTCACTGTAAAAGGAACAGAGAGAGAAAATACACACCAAAATAGCAGTGATCATCTAGGTACTGGAAATTCTTATTATACCCTTCCAATTTTTCATAGTGTTGTACAATAAGCATGTGTTACCTTTATAATCATAACTTTAAAACTGGGTGGACTTTTCATCCGTATGTGTAATTTCATCCACATACGCTAGAAAGACATGGAGAATACAAAGGTATTGGGGAGAGACAGGAAATACATATACAAAGGAGTTTAAAAGAAAAATAATCACAAACAAATGAAAGCATGGGCAGGTTTAGCTATTAGACTTTTCATTTCTCCATTGTAGCACTAATTAAGAGCAAAAAGGACAGAAACAGCTTAAATATCCAATAAGAGGCATAATGGAATACATGCACCCATACTGCCTTTTTAAATAAATGTTCATTTAAAGTTTTTTAAGTTACAAAACAGTATATTCAGTCTGATTCTCTTTTGCATTTTTTTTTACTCTGCATACAGAGGGTCTGGAAGATTCCACCAAAGTGTTCATCAGGGTTGTCTCTGAGTGGATGGGATTTGGGAGTTTTGTGTTGTTTCGTTTTTGCTTGCCTCCATTTTGTAAGCAAAACTTACTTTTTATAAAAAATGGGTTAAGGTTACTTAAATCTATTTCGGTAACAATTGAAGTTACATATTAAGATTTACCACATTTCAAGTTTTTTGGTGTTTGTTTGTTTTGAGACGGTCTCACTATGCAGTTCAGGCAGGTCTTGAACTCACGGTGATCCTCTTGCCTCAGCCTCCGGAGAGCTGCGATTACAGCTCTATGCCACCACTTAAGGCTCAGCTTTTTTTTTTTTTTTTGGTACCAAGAATCGAGCTCATGACCTCAGGCTTGCCATGCAAGCGCTTATTTCACTGAGCTATATCCCCAGTCCCTAGGGCTCAGCTTTTTAACTATAAACGCTACTTTAGCCGGGCGTGGTGGCGCACACCTGTAATCCCAGCACTCGGGAGGCTGAGGCAGGAGGATCGTTGTGAGTTCGAGACCAGCTTGGGCTGTAAAGTGAGCTCAAGGCCAGCCTGAACTGCATAGCGAGACCCTGTCTCAAAAAGACAAAAAATAAATAAATAAATGCTATTTTAGTTTTTACAAATGAAATATGTATGGTCTGCAACGTGTTTTAAAATATGTATATATTGTGGAATGGCTAACTCAACGTACTTAAAATATACACCACCTTTCCGGTTTTTTATAACATCTAATCCATTTATCGAGTGAGATTTTAACCTTTCCCTTCTAATCGCGTACAGTGTTGGGGGGAAAAACAGTCCTTACTGACCTCCCCAAAATATATGCTCTAGTTTGACCCTGCTGCCAGCGCGCCAGCAACCCCCGGAGGCCAACTGACACCTGTCTCCGGAAGAGTCGGACCCCGGAAGTGACGAGGAAGGCGGAAGTGAGCGATGAAGGCGCGCGGCATTCTGGGAACGGTTACGGAGGCAGAATTGACGTTATGGCTGTTACCACGGCAACGGAAGGACCGCTTGTTACTGGCAGTTTGGAGTCCTTAGGTGGAAAGATGGAGATGCTCGTAAGACTTTCGGGATAGGCGAAACGGTCATAACGTTATGGAAAGAAAGATCGTCCTATCAGGAAGTCGTCCAGGCGTGCTCCGTAGGCGGAGCGGTGGACCTGGGAATCTGGGTCTCGCCCTGTTATTCCTGGGTCTTGAGAAAGGAAGCGCAGCCCAGTGACTCCTCGCTGTTCCTTCTCTAGTTTCTGCCTCCTTTTAGAAAATGTAAATTGAGAGGTTTTGAGTTAATGTGTTCTAATGTGAAAGTAAATGAAGGCCGGGCGTGGTGGCGCACGCCTGTACTCCCAGCACTCGGGAGGCTGAGGCAGGAGGATCGCTGTGAGTTCGAGGCCAGCCTGGACTACAAAGTGAACTCAAGGCCAGCGTGAACTGCATAGTGAGACCCTATCTCAAAAAGACAAAATAAATAAATAAATAAATAAATGAATCTTTTTAGTTGTGGAAATTTTTAAAACGAAGAAAATAAAGCTCAGTCATCCAGTTACTGAGAAGTAACTTAAATTTTGCGTGTGTCACCTATCAGTTTTTTTCTCTGCGTAAGTATTGTTTATATAGTCAAATTGATTTAAAGAAAATCTTTTTTCATATATGAAAGAATTTTTTCATAATATATGAAGGACATAATTGTGAT